TAATTAGTGCTTATTTATTGCAAGTAAGGAAGTTGTTGTACATGAGTTTTGGTCTTAATATGCTCTGCTCAATATGGGCCTAATAAGGCAGTAGTACCACAAGAATAGTAATTCTCCCATAATAACACTTAACCAATATTATCTATTCCTCTGTAACAAGACATTAAACTATAAGTTTTAATTGTCTCTAAATAACTCGGTTAGGTATGTATGTGCGCATCACTCTCACTCCTCAATGGTAACGTGTATGTGGATTTAGAAACTTCCCCTTCGATCCTATTGGCTCTAACGGTTCAAAACAGGTGTCAATCATCAAAATCGACCGAGGGGGGCCAGAGATATGGTAAATCCACCCAAATGTCCCCAGGAGTGTTTTTGTTGTTGTTGCTAAATCTCTCTAAAAAGGTCAAATGTCACTTGTTTTGCATCAATCTTGATACAGGGTACTTATTATATGTTATAGTTTGGATTCCTAAAGCTTTTAGTATACCATCTCATCATTCAAGGGTGGTTTTCACTGTAAATAATGCTTTTTTATATACACTATAATTTAAAAATGTTTACTATGTTCAATCTGAATTTGCTTTAAAATAAAAAATGCTATATTGATTCTGACTTTACTACATCCAACTCACATGTGTATCATTGCTTTAAGAAAAAAAGATTATTAATTTAACCCTTTTAGAAGTGAAGATATGGTCATTTGTTCTGGGAATGTCATTTTCAAGCCTGAGACCTGAAAAATAGGCTTGGGACTTAACTGGTTAATAAGTGTTTTATAATGACTAATAAAGAGCCAATATACTGCTAATATGCATGTTAATTAACAACTAGTTGATGGTTAATTTGTGTACCTTAATATAAAGTGTTACCAACATTATTTGAATACTTCCTGGGTCTACTGTTAATACCACATATCATATGAAAAAAAAGACAAACTGCTCTGTCTTTTTTCTTCAGGTGTTTTTTAAGGCGGGTCTGTTGGGTCTTTTGGAGGACATGAGGGACACCCGTCTGTCTGAGATCCTCACAATTGTTCAGGCCATGGCCAGAGGGAAGCTGATGAGGATGGCTCGAGAATTGATGATGATTCAAAGGTCAATATAACAACCAGCAGATACATTATTGATGAAATACAGTGTAGCAGCAAAAATGTAAGTGTATGATATTTCTTTGGGTAAGTGTGGTCTATAATTCTTCCTCTCAGGGATGCTGTACTGGTGATCCAGTTCAACCTCAGAGCGTTCTTCTCTGTGAGGACTTGGCCTTGGATGATGTTGTTCTACAAGCTGCGTCCGATGCTCAGGAGCGCCCAGGTGGAGAAAGAACTGGCTGCCCTTAAAGAAGCGTACAACAAGTTAAAAGAGGCCTTCGACAGGTCGGTCCACCGGTCGGCTCCTTAAACTCTGTGTACATTATTATTTACATGTTTTAAAGCAGGATTAATTGAGTCCACACAGATATATGACTAATCACCATCTGTTGTATTTTCTCGGGTCAGGTCAGAGATAAAGCGAGTGGAGGCGGAGGAGCGTCAGGTGATTTTGGTTCTGGAGAAAGACGACCTGTCTCTGCAGCTCCAAGCGGTGAGTAACATTGAAATTAAAAGGATTTAAATATCACACTTTGGAAAGTCCAATCAATATACTATATTATTCACATGCAAATTGTGTCTACCCATAACTCAAACTCAACGAAATGTTATTGGTTGCACGTTTATAATATTTGAAAATGAATGTCATGTCACAATTTAACATCTTTCAAGTAAAAATAAATGTTGTTTGTCAACAAGGTTTTATAAGATGAAGTGATATGGGATCCTCATGGGTGTGTTTACAAGTCTGCTAGATCTTCCTGGGTTATTTGTTTACAGTTTGTTGCTATCTAATCCATACCATTTATCTCCAAATTTGACGTTTACTTATTCAGATGAAAAAAAGGATTTCCAAAATGAATCAATTTGACGTGAGGCTAGTTAATCTCTCTTAATCTTGTTTTCAATATCTCTAAAATGTCTCATGTTTTTATCCATCCAGGAGCAGGACAGCCTGTCAGATTCAGAAGACCGCTGCAACCAGCTGATTCAGTCCAAAATCTCTCTGGAGTCGAAGCTGAAGGAAGCGCAGGAACGTCTGGAGGATGAGGAGGAGATGACGGCCACGCTGACGTCCAAGAAACGTCAGCTGGAGGAGGAGGTGATATCCCTGAAGAAAGACGTGGACGACCTGGAGATGACTCTGGCTAAAGTGGAGAAAGAGAGACATGGACTGGAGAACAAAGTATGTACATTTACAACCGTATCACTGCATGGTTCCTTTCCTTAACTATTTATCTTTTCTTGTCTTTGTTTTTTAGCTTGAGAGCCTTTGTCTGCTACAATTGATGATTTTCGTATTTTCTTTTTGCCCAGGTGAAGAACCTGTCCAATGAGATGTGTGTTCTGGATGAATCCATATCGTCTCTGACCAGAGAGAAAGTGGCCCTGCAGGAAGCTCACCAGCAGGCTCTGACTGACCTTCAGGCCCAGGAGGACAAGGTCAACATGCTGGTCAAGGCCAAAGCTCGGCTGGAGCAACAAGTGGACAATGTAAGTAAAAACTGACCTAAAGAAAATGATGAATAAAACTGTCTGTCCAGATTTGAACAACTGTGTTAATCTTTATCCGTCTTTCTACTTAAAGTTTTACGTTTATACAACATTATAAATCAAAGGACACGTTTCATTTGGAGTACCTCAAGGTAGCTGTTTGGAGCCATTATTGTTTTCTGCCAATGATCTCTAGAACCATCTAAAAGACCTCTAGAATCTTCTCAAAGATCTATTTGTAAAAGACCCATAGAGCCTCCTTAATGGCCTCCTAAAGAAACTCTTTAATGATGACCTCATTCCTGAAGGTCCTGAAGAACCCCAGAACCAATACTACACACTCCTTGGTGACCAAAGTAACCAACTAGTATACTANGACATTTTCAAATGTTTGATTGTGTTTTGCTGTTATAAATCTTTTTTTTTTACTTGGTCTGAGGAACTATTCTAATTTTTTGAGATAGGATTTTTGAGTTTTCTTAAGCTGTATGCCATAATCAGCAATATTAAAATAATAAAAGGCTTGCAATATTTCAGTTGATTTGTAATGAATCCAGAATGTATGACATTTTTGTTTTTTTTTAATTGCATTACAGAAAATAAAGAACTTTATCACAATATTCTAATTTTCTGAGACAGTCCTGTATAGTACATAGTATACTACTTTTTTTACAAACTATATTATGACTTTCAACATTTATGAAATGGTGATCTTTTTTTAAAAACTATACTATGACTTTTTTTTTACATTTACTAAATTATGACTTTTTTTGAATAAATAGTATACTGACTTTTTTCGACAGAATGCACTATGACTGTGAAATTACCACCTTAAGGATCTCTGAATCTTGCCTGATGGTCAGTGGAACCTGAGGACCATTGTAACTTTCTAAAGGAACTTGATAAGAACTCTTTCATGACCTATTGAATTTCCTAAAGGATAACTACGATCCCCAACAGAAACAACTAAAGACCTCTAGGATCTCCTAAATAACCAATTGGACCTCTTCAATGACCACAACAGGACCTCTACAACCACCCCCAGGGCCACTAGAGGCTTGAGTTTTCTAGGACCAAAAGGACAACCTAAAGACCACATTAAGCCCATTAGGTGACCTTAAATACCACCTAATGGACCTTTTGTTATCTCTTTATGACAGCTTGAATCCTAAAGCTTGAGTAGATACTTCCCAAGAACCACAAAAACTGTCTACTACTCAACCATCTTATGGTCATTAGATTGGCTAGCAGATGGCTAGCAAATTAAGTAAAACCAACATAAAGTGTCTTCTAGGGGTTTAGTACACCACTGGGTTAAGGTACTGGTGTCTGACAGCATCCCCCTTTCTTCCCTATAGGTAGAAAGTTCCTTGGAGCTTGAGAAGAAGGTGCGGATTGATCTGGAACGATCCAAACGGAAGCTGGAGGGGGATCTGAAGCTTTCTATTGACTCAGTGAAGAACATGGAGAATCAGAAGGAAGAGATGGAGGAGAAAATGAAAAAGTAAGACAAATATATCTGGAGCTGGTAGATTTTAAGTTGTATTTAGCCAATGTTTTTATCTTTTTCTTTTAGACAAATTCTCCATAAGGGCCAAGCTCTACTAACACATTATGACGATACGTTTGAACAAAGGCTGACACTACAAATGATTTGGTATTTTTGTTTCTCTCTCCGTCTCTTTCCATTGCTCCCTAAAGAAAAGACTTTGAAACGGTTCAGATTCAATCCAAACTGGAGGATGAACAGAGTTTGAGTGCTGCTTATCAGAAGAAGATCAAAGAGCTGCAGGTTAGTGGTGATTCAGAATATACATGTTAGCTTCCTGATTTTCGTCTTCCTCACTCTGAGCTGTGATCAATTCCTCAGACTCGTATCGAGGAGCTGGAGGAGACGCTGGATGCAGAGCGGGTGTGGCGCACCAAAGCTGAACGTCAGAGGAACGACATCTCCATAGAACTGGAGGAACTGGGAGAGAGACTGGAGGAGGCCGGAGGAGCCTCTGCTGCTCAGATCGCTCTCAACAGGTCAGCAGCATCAACTCATAGAAACTTACATAGGCTCACTTATGTCTTTTTTTTAGGGGGACATAGCAAGTCAATAGTATATGCCACATTGAAGTGGCATGCATCATCTAAAAGATTAATTAGAGATGCAGTTCAAAAGGATGTCAAGATTATCTGGTCATGGTTGGTTTGGTGTCTATTACATTTTGAAGATTAAGAATGGATAAGGGCATGGAAAGTTGTTGCCGGAATGTGTGCGTTGATACCATTTGTTACACAGATTTGGTGCCAAATTGAACACATTTCCACCACTCACGAATTGATACAAATATCAAAAAGCACTCCAACATACCACAATAAGACACAAAAACTATTGAAACTATTACAATTTGTCAACGATTGGATTGGGATTACTTCTGTTTTGGCAACTGCTCAGAAATCCCCTTTTTGTCTCGAGACTGTGCTTACCCTTAAGCTCACAACCAGTCACTTTAAAGAGCGAAGTCAGCTTAGATTTTTGAGTTTCATATGATATTAATATATTAAAATCAAATCCTGGAGGTTTTGACTGTCATAAAAATGTATTTCTGCATTCAAGTTCCCTCAGAATGAATTGTCATGACGATTGGTAGGTGCCTTCACTCAGACAGGGTCGTGGCTCCTGTGATTTTAAATTGTAACTACCTTGATGTCAAACAGGAAGAGGGAGGCCGACTTCCTGAAGATGCGGCGGGAGCTCGAGGAGGCGGGGCTTCACCACGAGGTGACGGCCGCCACTCTGAGGAAGAAGCACTCGGACGCGGTGACGGAGCTCAGCGAGCAGATCGACAATCTGCAGAGAACCAAACAGAAACTGGAGAAGGAGAAGATGGAGTACAGGCTGGAGGCCGATGACCTGGCTGCCAACGTGGAGCATCTGTCCAGGAACAAGGTGAATAACAATGTCCTATTACACAGATTTAAAGGAGTATTTCAACAACAATAAGGGGTATTACACCTGATCAACATCATCCTGCTTGTCATGTTGAGTAAGGAAGCAATACAAACGTTTGTTTACAAGGATAGAATGGTCATATTAAGTGTTTCTGGTTTTGAACTCTTATTAAGGATTCATTTTCAAACCAGATTAAAACATGTTTTAACAAAAAATCTTGTTGCACCAAACTTAAAAAGTAGTTGAAACTTAACTTTTAAATTGAAACCACTCTTCAAATATCAGTTCTAGATCTAGACAACATTTAATTTTGTTGCACCACAACTTAATTTTAAATCTGATTCACCAACAACTTTGAAATTACGGGTGTGTGTGTGTGTGTGTGTGTGTGTGTGTGTGTGTGTGTGTCTGTGTGTGTGTGTGTGTTTGTTTGTAGACTGCTGCTGAGAAGATGTGCAAGGTTTATGAGGACCAGCTGAACGAAAGCAGGAGCCGAGCGGAGGAGCTGCAGAGACAACTGACCGACGTTTCTACTCAGAAAGCGAGAGCCGTTACAGAGAATGGTACCACGAAACAAAGATTTTCCGTTATCCAGAATAATATCCTACTTAGGTTCTCTTAATGTGCAAAGGACTATCTTTTTGGGTCTAAATGATGTCACGGACTGACACGATAGTTGTAGTACCACCGTTTGGCCACTATGAAAGTTTACTTCAATGTTTGGTGCATTTCCTGAGGGCTTGGACTCAACTCTGTTTTGACGCTGTTTCTCTTCCTATCTTTGTTGTTCTTTAGCCGAGTACAGCCGTCGTCTTGAGGAGCGGGAAGCTATGATTAGTCAGCTCCAGCGCTCCAAGGCGGGGGCGTGCCAAAACGCTGAAGACCTAAAGAGGCAGCTGGAGGAGCAGAGCAAAGTAACATTACATACTCATACATTCTCACACTTTTACATTGATTCAAAGAAGTAAACTATCTTTGATGAAGGTTTTTGTTGGGAAAATACTGAATGTCCTCTTCCAATATCAGAGTAGCACATGATGACAAAGTCCCTACGTAGCTGGGTACATTACAGGATGTCTGATTACCTAGAAGAGCATCAGGACTGTTTGAGGCATATGATAGCTCTGTGATTAACATGAAGATTCAGCCTCTATGGAGAGAGACATATGACAAGCATGCTCATTTCTGACGTGGGTCTTAGCTAATCTAAACTAAACATACTGCTTTGAACCGGTATTCCTCCATCTTGTGACTGTGTAACTCCCTCTCTTGTATATCAGCATGTGAAGGACACTGTTCAGGAACTAGTTGTACCAAATGCTCTGTACTGTATGTGATGACTACTTCCATGCAAGGATTATAAATAGATGTATCCTAATTATTGAAGGTGACGAGTGATATTTTACCAACAGTTTTTTATGGATAAGAGTATCTGGTATGTTTGTTTGTGTTTCAGGCCCGTGTGTCGCTGGCCCACGCAGTGCAGACGTCCCACCACGACAGCAGTCTGCTAAGGGAGCAGCTGGAGGAGGAACAGGAGGCGAAGGCTGAGCTGCAAAGGGAGCTGTCCAAAGCCAACGGGCAGGTGGTTCAGTGGAGAGCCAAGTACGAGACGGACGCCGTGATGAGGATAGAAGAGCTGGAGGACGCCAAGTTAGTACTTCTGATACTACTATTGCTACTGTGACTATCGATGCTATTTGGTTTAGGTAGTTTTGAAATACCCTTAACAAAGCTGTGAATATTGATGTTCCCCAGAGGATCTATGCCCAAGCACAAACATCAGGGCGTTCTATCTGAAGGAATACTCCCAAAATGATCACTTACTCATCCCATATTACCTTGAATTTGTGAGAATTGTCCATGGTCAATGAACAATTCCATGGTAAATGAGGAAAAATAAGATACTTGATTAATTGAAGAACGTGTCAAGCGCGTTTAACCACAGCGTTATTATATCAAAAATATTTGTATGCACTATAATTAATGATTTATGTACACTGGGCCACTTTTACGAGGTGTTTAAATAGTCAGGTTTCAGAAAAAATGCATGAGTTTGGGAAGCATATTGAATGAATGACACCTTGACCTTGTCCTTCTGTACTTTACTAAGTTCATTTTGTAATTGTTTGTGGTTAGGAAGAAGTTGGTCGTCAAACTGCAGAACACGGAGGAAGCTGTGGAATCATCTCATGCCAAATGTTCCTCACTGGAGAAAAGCAAGTTGAGTCTGCAGACAGAGATCGAAGACCTGGTGGTTGAACTGGAACGAACCAACTCTGCTGCTCTGGCTCTGGACAAGAAGCAACGCAACTTCGACAAGGTCAACAAAAAGCAAACATAACCCTCAAAATACTTATAAACAATGGAGGGTGTTTAAAACAAGCCTCAACACTTTGTGAGAAGTTTGATGTTTTCTTTGCTTGATGCAGTTGTTGGGTGACTGGAAGCTGAAGTTTGATGAGAGTCAGACGGACCTGGAGGCGTCGCAGAAAGAGTCGCGCAGTCTGAGCACCGAGCTCTTCAAACTGAAGAACTGCTACGAAGAAGCTCTGGACCATCTGGAGACGGTCAAGAGAGAAAACAAGAACCTGCAAGGTACTCCCAGAATCTAAGCAGCAACATCAACAACTTTAGTTTTTGGTGGACTAGGTTCTGCTTGGTCAGGTTTTGAGTTATATCTTGATATGAATATAAGCAGGTTTTATAACTAACAAACTCAAGCAAAGAAAAAACAATGAATACATCACTGTTTCTCCGCCCTAACTTAGGCTACAAACATGCCTGGTCAATTATGCTGATTGCTACGGTAGTTATCGAGCGTTATATCCAAGTATTTTAGGAGACGTGTTACTTTTTTTTTTTACAAAGTGGATGTGTGTGGTTCACACAATAAAACAACTATGACTAACTTAACAACTAAAGCAGTCCACTGCCATTGATGGCCCCCTACGGCTTACAGGACTGAGGGGACGTGAAACTACAGGAACTTCTTATTCATCTCTCTCAAAACAAATCCAGAACAATTAACTATAAACTTTCTTTAACTCAAGCCTTGGGAAATTGTCAGAATGTTTCACAAAGGACATCAGACCAAAGAGTCTGTGGTCTTTTCTGTCTACCAAAAGACTTTGTGATCAAAGTGGGCGCCTCTAAAGGGCTTGTGTAACATATTTGATACCAATCGTCAAAAGGTGACTATACAAGACTGTTAATGACTTAAATGAATATTGTCTTTGACTGAACCAGTGTGTTTGAACTCTAGAGGAGATATACGACCTGACGGAGCAGATCAGTCAGGGAGTGAAGGCCATCTTTGAGCTGGAGAGGATGAAGAAGATCCTGGATATGGAGAAGAGTGGTATCAAAACTGCTCTGGAGGAAGCAGAGGTAACTGACTGAACTGCTTTACATTCTTCCATAAATAAACTAAAGTTGCATTCACACCTAATAGTCCGCATCTTTGGTGCGCGACAGACGAGAGTTTGTTACATTGTTTCCTTATTCAGAACGTTTGGTTTGCGTTCACATGGGCAAAACTCAAACAGACTATAAACTTTAAACACAAGTCATGTGCACGGAAATGCTGTTCAACGATTGGTCAGACATAAGGGGGTAAAAACGCAAATCCTGGCAATTTCTACCGAGCCTCCGCCATGGTGCATCGGCAGGTTATTTTCATGCTACTTTTAATCTGGAGAGCTGAGAGCATATCAACAGATCTAGCGGACGGCGCATAGGATTATATAATCAGACGACGTGCTTTAAAAAACATTATAACACATATAATGAGAGACGTCCTTCAGTAAGGAGGGGCGTTTCACCGACGACAGGTGGTTCTGACTTTTATGTATAGTTGACGGAGCATTTTTACTTTTACACAACATTGTTCAACACTTCATTCTGCTTCACTCTTTCACTAAAGATTTTGAAGACACCCGCGTTCTTGTGACTCGTAAATACTACATTTCCAGTGTTTTGGTGCGGACTGCATTCAACCAGCTCAGTTCACTAGCAGGCGGTCTGAGACCACCTCTTTTAAGCGGGCCAGAGTCCGGTTGTTTAGTTCACATCAGAGGGCTCGGACTGCGTTCACACCGACCCAAAGGAACCGCACCAAGCGGTGAAACGCACCAGGGTTCGATTTAAAAAGGACTCTACAAGACTGGTGTGAATGCGAGCTAAATTACGGTATCTAAAAACTCTCTTCTCACCAGGGAACTCTGGAGCACGAGGAGAGTAAGACACTGAGATTCCAGATGGAGCTGCAGCAGATCAGAAGCGACATTGAGCGCAAGATTGCAGAGAAAGATGAAGAGATCGACAACCTCAGGTACTAAATATATAAAATAAAATACTTAGATGAAGCTCTAACTAACCAGGGGTAAAAACTGTGAAAATTATAACGACTTTTTATGTACGATGCCTGCGTTCGATGAGTAATACCAGTGCTGTCCACCAGGCGGGGTAACCAGCGCGCTCTGGAGACCCTGCAGGCCAGCTACGAGGCGGAGGTTCGCAACCGCAGCGAGGCAGTGCGTCTGAGGAAGAAGATGGAGTCTGACATGAACGAGATGGAAGTTCAGCTGGGAAACGCTAACAGACAGGCGGCCGAGAGCCAGAGGATCATCAGACACCTGCAGACACAGGTAGGATCATCTCATCCAAATTAAAATAAGGTATAAAAGACAATAAACTCCTTATTATCAAGCTAGCAATGATAGATGCTTTATTGAAGGTTCCCAGAGCCATTAAGCAGGATGTACGCTGAACAAAAATATAAATGCAACACTTTTGTTTTTGCTCCCATTTTTCATGAGATGAACTCAAAGATCTAAAACATTTTCTATATACACAAAATAACCATTTCTCTCAAATATTGTTCACAAATCTGAAAAAATCTGTGATAGTGAGCACTTCTCCTTTGCCGAGATAATCCATCCCACCTCACAGGTGTGGCATATCAAGATGCTGATTAGACAGCATGATTATTGCACAGGTGTGCCTTAGGCTGACCACAATAAAAGGCCACTCTGAAACGTGCAGTTTTGCTTTATTGGGGGGGTCTGGGGGGGTCCAAAAACCCTAGGGTTAAAACCCCTAGGGTTTAACCCTAACCCTAACCCTAACATGTCACCCATTGAGCATGTTGGGGATGCTCTGGATCGGCGTATACGACAGCGTGTTCCAGTTCAATATCCAGCAACTTCGCACAGCCATTGAAGAGGAGTGGACCAACATTCCACAGGCCACAATCAACAACCTGATCAACTCTATGCGAAGGAGATGTGTTGCACTGCGTCAGGCAAATGGTGGTCACACCAGATACTGACTGGTTTTCGGACCCCCCCAGACCCCCCCAATAAAGCAAAACTGCACGTTTCAGAGTGGCCTTTTATTGTGGCCAGCCTA